CTCACCTCAGCCTCCCAAAGGCGCGGGATTACAGGCTGAGCCACCGAGCCCGGCCGAGGCCCCTCATTTTAAACCAACTCATCCAAGGTAGTGGAAGAATAAGAAAGAAAAATTCTGTCTTGGGGATCTAGCTATCAGTTCACGATTCATTTTCTCTCTTAACTATTTAACGTATAGGCCAGTTGTGGTGGTTTACACCTGTACTCTCAGCACTTTGGGAGGCTGAGGTGGGAGAATCGCTAGAGGCCAGTGATTCAGGACCAGCCTGGGAAACAAGTGAGACATTATCTCTACAAACAAATAAGGAAAAAGTTTTGAAATTAGCCAGATGTGGTAGCTCATGCCTATAGCCGCAGCTACTTGGGGCTGAAGTGGGAGATCACTTGAACCCAGGAGTTCAAGACCACAGTGAGCTATGATAATACCACTGCACTCCTGCCTATATGACACAGTGAGACACTTCTCTAAAAATAATAATAAAAATATCAAAAGTGTAAAGCTATATCAATTAAAATAAAAATCATTCTGGTGTAAGAATAAAAACACAATCAAGGAAACAAACAAGAGTACAGAAAAAGAGCTTTTAGGATAGTTTTTATTTATTTTATTTTTTGTTTTGTTTTTTTGAGTTGGAGTCTCACTCAGTTGCCCAGACTGGAGGGCAGTGGCCGCTCCTGGCCACTACAGCCTGGACCTGCTGGGCTCTGGTGTTCCTTCTGCCTCAGCCTTCCAAGTAGCTGGAATTACAGGCGCGCGCTACCATGCTGGGCTAATTTTTTTGATTTATTGTAGAGATGAGGTTTTGCCAAGCTGCCTGGGCAGGTCTCGAACCCGTGGGCTCAGGCAATCCACTCACTTCAGCCTCCCAATTAGCGCTGGGATTACAGGCTGAGCTACCGAGTCCGGCCTAGGACAGTTTTTATTGTGATACAAGATATACATAAATCAGGAAGGACAGATAGTGGTAAAACAGTATAAATATATATAAATATTATTTTTTAGAAAGCAAGATTTGCTGGGCTAGGTGGCTCAGCCTGTAATTCCGCACCTTTGGGAGGCTGAGGTGAGTAGATTGCCTGAGCCCGCGGCTTCAAGAACCGCCTGGGCAACTTGGCGAGACCTCATCTCTACAATAAATCGAAAAGTCAGCTGGGCATGGTAGCACGTGTCTGTAATTCCGGCTGTACTGAGGTGGAAGGATTGCCAGAGCCCAGCAGGTTGAGGCTGCGATGGTTGGAAGCGGCCACTGCACCCCAGTCTGGGTGACAGAGTGAGACACCAACTCAAAAAAAAAAAAGAAAGAAACCAAGATTTATTGAGAGGACAGAAAAGCTCCTACCGTGGGAGAGGACCCAAAGAGGGTACCATAAATACTTTTTAAAGTAAAAATCTTGGCCAGACGCAGTGGTTCTCACATATATCTCAGTACTTTGATAGGCCGAAGTGAGAGGATTGCCTGAGCACAGGGATTCGAGACCAGCCTGGGCAACTTGGTGAGACCTCATCTCTACAATAAATAAAAAAAATTAGCCAGGTGTGTTGGCATGAGCCTGTAGTTCAGCTACTTGGAAGGCTGAGGTGGAAGTATCACCTGAGTCCAGCAGGTGGAGGCTGCAGTGGCCCTGAGTGTGCCATTGCACTCCAGCCTGGGCGACAGAGTGATACTCCAACTAAAAAAAAAAAAAAAAGTAAAAATCTTTATATCCTAATTGACATCAAATAAATTTCAGGTAAATTAAATGCCAGGAAAAAAAATACCTTCTTTACATTAAAAATGTCATAAAATGGCTGAGTGCAGTAGCTCAAGTTTATAATCCCAGCACTCTGGGAGGCCAAGGTGGGAGGATTGCTTGAGCCCAAGAGTTTGAAACCAGTCTGGACAACATAGTGAGATTCCATCTCTACAAAAATAAAGTAAATTAGCCTGGTGTGATGGTGCGAACCTGTAGTCCCAGCCTCTTAGGAGGCTGAGATGGGAGGATCACTTGAGCCCAGGAGTTTGAGGCTGCAGTGAGCTGTGATCATGCCACTGCACTCCGGCCTGGGTGACGGAGTGAGATTCTAACTCTGACTCTCACTCTCTCTCTCTCTCTCTCATACACACACACACACACACACACACACACACACACACACA